AAAAATTATTTATAAAATAAAAAATTTTCCCCGATATGATTTATAAAGCAAAGGTCTTAATGAAAATTTCTTATGCAATATGTATATGTTAATCACGCTTTCCTACAATGTACGATATGTTATGAGTGTAGTATTGGAACACTTACATACTTTACGGCACGATTCCGGAAGGTTTCCTGCTCCATATCCCGTATTTTATGTGTCAGCATATGTTGTTTGAGGTTGCCCTGTTGAATAGAATAAAAAGAAAAGTTGTTAATGTAGCTAAATAAAATTAAAAAATATGAAACGTTCAAACATATATGTGTATATACCAAAGTATATAATACAATGTGGTTACATATACAATCTTGAAAGAATTTTTTAATATTAATTAAAATTAAGGCAGAATAATTTTTGCCCATTTTGATATTTTGAGGAGAAAAATTCGTTAAATTGCAAATATGCGTTTTTAAATTTAAAATATGAATTTTCATTTTGAAATTTTACTTTTGAATTAAATTCAATACTCTATTTTTATATTAATTTTTTTATTTAATTTAATTTAAATAATTTATTTGATTTTGAATTAAAATACTTATTTTCCAATAAAATTAATCACAGTTGTCTTAAATTGAAATTTATATCTCTTAATTTCAACAACTGGTTGAATTTTCAATTATTTTTTTATTGTTAATTTTCATATACATAAATTTTATAATTTTTTCGTACGGCTCACAAACTTTTTTCAAATTAAATACTTTTTAAATTACTTTTTTTAGTTAATTACATTTTTTTTTACATTTTTTTAAATTTTTTTGAAATTGTTTTTTAATTTTTCTTTATTATATTGGTAAATAAAACTGAAAAATATGAAAGTAGTACATATGCGGTTACATATGTATGTATCTATGTGTACTAACGAAACCAAACAATTTTTTTATATTAATTAATTAATTATTGTATTAATTTTTTCAAATTTTGATGTTCCAAACAAAAAATAATCCTTAGATTTTAAAGATACATATATTTTTAAATATAAATGCGATATTTAAATTGTAT